GGGGGGAAGCAAAACAGTGGAAGCCACTGTTGCTACCCCAGGAGACTTTCCTTCGTGGGATTTGAGTTCTCTTAGTATATCAGCAGTGCATGACCCAATTTCATACATAGAAGCTTGCATTCCCCTCTTCAGCCAACGTTGCAGTGATACATGCATCCCGCAACACTGTTGGAACACAATCTTCCTACAGCCAAGAAAGCTCTGAAGGGAACAAGAAAAGTTTAAGTATTACCAGATGTCTTCTCCATGTGAAAATACAAACCAGATTTCCATTAAATGGTGCTTGCCTTTGGTCTTTGCTAGGTAAAGAATTGAGCTCTCCTCCATTAACAGACTAGCACTAATTGTCTTTGCTCTGCAAGCTAATTGATGAACCTTATACTAAGGTAAGACTAAAATAAAGAGTAGATATATTCCTGCTCAGCTTTTAATTAGTTACAGTACTTATCAGAAAGAGTCAGAAGGCAAAAGGGTATGATGTCCTAAAATACCTTTTTGATTCGCTGTCCAGAGGGGCTGAATGGATGACAATACCAAGCTAGTCTCAGTATTGACCAGGAAAAAAGTTATTTCCCATTACTTCCAAAGAACTGAGAGTGAACATCTTTATATGTGACAGTATCAAAAAAACCCTGCTTGCTTGAATTCTTTTTTTTTTTCCCTTCATATCATGCCCATGTTCTTCCTGCTCAGGAAATAACTGATAATCCTGACATAGACAAAGGAGGTACACAAAGTTGGACCCATTTTCTAGGCTGTCAACACACAGGCTTAAACTCTGAAGAGCTGTAGGAAGTACAGAAATCGCAATCCCTTGACCAAAGCAAAGGGAGCATGCTTTATTTCTGTGTATATTCAAAATCAGTAACCATGGAGTTTGATAACCAAGTCTCCACCTATGAAGGAAGTTCATTCAGTGCAATTCTTGCAATTGCAAAGGCTACCTTAGTGACAGAAAAACAGGGTAAGTAAAAGAGACAACATTTCTGTACGTGTAGATACAGCTACTCTACTGCCCAGATTATATCGAAAACACCCATTCAAATGGCTTCCAGAGAAACCAGGTTTTCTTATAGCCTCCAGATAGCTCAGCAACACCGATGAAATTTTAGTAAATACAAGAACTTAGAAAAACTGGCACTACAGGTGGAAATACAGTAGCATTCCAGAGTGTCACAGTGGCTTGACTAAGCTGAGAGATTCTTCTTCCTAGTAAGTTGCACAGATAACTAATCTAAAATTTATTGGAGTCACTGAAATAAACTGTTCAACGTTTTGTCACTTGTTATTTACCAACAAAATCAGAAAGAAGCACAAGTTATTTGAAACTATGAAATATTGTATTTGATAGGGAGAAGAACTGTCAATCAGCAATTTCACAGATGTCAAATGGCTGAAGATATTTCTATTACTTCCACACATTTGAATCAATAAAGAAATCATACATGCAACAATCAAGTAATTCAGCACTCTCTCAATCCTGCACTTACCTTGCAAATGGTTTTTGGTGAAGTAAGAGCTATAAGGCCATTTGGTGATGTAATAAGCAATCAAACTGTCATTCAGTGCAACATGATGACATAAGAATTTCACTGCAAGTGAGCGCAAGGTTATACACAATGGAAGGAACAATCCAGCTACACAGGCACATGCTGGTGGGTTCAAAAATTCACTGTAACTGCTCAGAGAAAACAACAAGGGTCAAGATGAAGAGCTGGCTGAGAACATCTGCTAAACATGGAGAAAACCAGACAAAATGTGAAGAGAAAGACAAACAATAAATATTCCAAGTACTGTCCTATTGTTTAAGACTGTTATATGACTTCACCTTGTATATTTACTGTCTCCAGTGATAAGACTTCTGTCAAATGAGCAACTAGACCTACATGAGGCAAGAATCTTCTGAAAGATCAGTCCAGGTATCTGGACCACAGATAGCAGAAAATGGAAGATCTTGGGAAGGACAAAGGGGCTCAAAGTAAAAAAAAAATCCTACCTGTAAAGAGATATTAAGTGATTTATTTTTATTTAGAATTACCTGATCATCACCTGGACTTCACATCTTTCTAATAGAATGAAAAGAGGGAAGAAAGAAGATGACAATACCAAGCATGACAAGGAAATCAAAGTTCTCATTCACACAGACAGAAGATGAAGACGAAAAGTTGAAGCAATGGAAGAACTGAATGATTTGTGGATCAGGCTCACTTTGTCACTTTCAACTTAGAAAGAATAAAATATCAATCTTTCTTTGTTGAAGAGTATAGGGGTACAACTCCATTTTACAGCCATGAAACTAGAGAAGAGACAGTATGAGACTGATATTACAAGTCAGGATCTACAGAACTGAACTATGCATTATCCTTATCAAAAGACATTTAATGCTCAGACAATCTACTGGATAACAGTAGAGAAGACCATGTCAGATTGCCACTGAATTGACTCACAGAAGACCATGTCAGTTGCCACTGAATTGACTCACAGCATGTTTAAGTTATGGTCACATAAAGATGAAAGGAAAACTACTTCTACTAAAGAAATTATTCATGACCATTTTGACATCGATTTGTATTTTTAAAAGGTATCACATTTGTTAAAGCAAAACTGCCACAGGTATCCAAAGTCCTTTTTTTCCCTCTCAAAAACGTTAATCTCATGTTTGAATCAATCTGATTCTGTTTTTCTTCGATCAAACAAAATACTATAGAGAGCAGCAGTCCAAGAAAACAACCAACCAACCTCCCTAATACCTTACATCAGGGAATAATTTCAAAACGACAGTAAACTTGCAGCAGCACTTATCTGGCTGTATGAGCAAACAATCACTGCCTCTACAGGCTAACTGGTTTGGTTTTTGCTGATGAACCAGTATGGCTTGGAGGAAGGGAACAAAAAAAAACCAAACACCCCAACCTCAAAACCTCCTCCCCAAAAAACCCCTCAGACTCAATGTTGACACAGAACTTCTAAAAAATTTTTGTGGTCAGGACTATACCAAACCTCAAAAAGCAGTCTTATAGACAAGATATTCTTCCTATAGTGCTACACAATATATATCTGCAAAACAGATTGATAAGGAATTCTTTAAACAAAGGTATCATAGAATTAGATACATGATGGGTGACAGACCAAAATGCAGTAATAATCAAAATAATCCAATAGTCCAGGTAAAAACAGTGTTGTATGGATGGCATTAATTCAAGAGACTAGAAGTAAGAAAGCTGCATGAGCAACAAGTTAGGGTGCCTGATCACTTCTGGGATTGTCTTGTTTTATCCATGTCAACAGCAGATCCTTATCAGTGCAATTTCAGCTCTTTCTGAAAGATGATCAGTACTGTTCTCCAAGCAATGCAAAATCCATGAAATACAGTCATTGCCTGTGACTTAGGTAAATACTACACTGATGAATCCAAAAGTGGTTTACATGTTTACTCAGTCACTGATTATAAACTGAGACCTTACTATATATAGCTGTTCTAGTCAAGCAGAACTGGATGGTTAGAATAAAGTGTCAAGTGTCTGAGAGTGGGTCACTTTAATAGCAGATTATAATTATTTGTGGATATTATAATCCCCAAATAAAGAATATTGTGCTTATAAACTACTTTAGAAGAGTAAGTAGAAGACAGTTAAAACCACACAAGTGATGAAAAACATCATATTTCTCCACATAGTGCCAACTCCTTTTTTTTGTCACTTCACAGAATTTATTGCAGACTCTTTTTTTCCCCATTAGAAATTATGGTTGGTTGTGCTGGGTCTGGCTGAGCAGGAATTGGATTTTCCCTATAGCAGCCCTCACAGTGCTGTGTTTGATGTTGGGAGCTGGCAGGGTGTTGGTAGGACCCTGGTGTTGTGGCTATTGCTGAGTGGTGCTTACACAGCACCAAGGCTCCTCCCGACATTTTCCCCCGCAGTGGGATGGGGCGGGCGAGATCTTGGGACACCACCAGGACAGCTGACCCGAACTGACCAAAGGGATATTCCATACCATAGGACGTCTGCTCGAGTATAAAGCTGGGAGAAAGGAGGAAGGGGGTGGGGGTCACCCTTGGTCCTCCGAGGCAACCACTACGTGTATTGGAGCCCTGCTCCTGAGAAGGCCCCACATCGCTTCTTCATAGGAAGCAGACGATAAATCCACATGCTTCCACATGCAGACCTTTCCTTTACTTTGCTTATGTTAAAACTGCTTTTGTTTTACCCATAGGGGTTGGTCTGTCTTATTTTCTTTCCTCTCTTCGCCCTGTTGAGAGAACAAGGGGAAGGGGGGGAAGTGATAGAGTGATTTGGTGGGTACCTGGCATTTAGCTAAGGTCAAACCACCATATTGGTATATTGGACAGCTGAAAAAAACAACTTAAACCATTCCACACAGGCAGAGTTGTTACTGCACAATGGATAAATTATGAACACTTCCAAAGACACCATTCTGTAATAAATAAATAAATTCAGACAGAACTTTTTGAACAGTATTTCAAATTTAATGGAATCAGAACAGCAAACCATCAGAATAATTCTATACATCTATATACAAAAATTTTGGAGCATAACTAAGTCTCTATTACTTCCTATATACAATCACCTGAAGAAATAGAATGTAAATATCTCTTAAGCAAGAAAATACTTTTGCAAGATTTTGTAGCTCTTTTTGAGCGCAGCTGTTGATGGATGATTAGCTGATCACTTTCCTTCTCTGTGTTCTATCAAGGTCTGAAAAAGATGACATTTCAAGAGTTACTCAGCATTTCTTCAGGGACAAAAGACATGCAGTTCTAGACCCATGTAACCAATAACATGTTTTTTCCCAGAAGCTGTTTTCAGAATGAATTTTGCCTATTATCTTTTAGTCAAAAGGTCACCAGAACAGAGACACCATTTGAGTGCATCCTAATAAGCAAGAAATACTGGGATCATACGGAACTCCATTTTTTGCTGAAACAAATATCCAAGTCCAAAGAAAAAAGTGATCTGAAAGCAGCTCTCGCTTCTTATCTCTAATACTCATTTTGTGAAACAGGAAGTGTTCAGAAAACATATTTTTAGCTTAAATTTCTTTAGCTTTCTGACTTTCCCAGGATTCAGTCTTTAGCTTTTCCTTTCACTTCCAAGCTTCTTAGCTTCTTTTGCTCTGCATTCCTGTCATTTTATTCATCCTCCTATGGACAGCACTTTGGTTACTGCTGCATCTGTTCAGACAATTTACAGAAAAGTCAACAGTATAACTCAGTATGGGCAAATGCCCACCACAGCAAATGAAAAAGGACTGAATAGAATGAAGAGATGTACTTCTCACAGCCAGAGTACACTCAGCACTTTAGTTACTGCCAAAACCATAAAGATGGATTTCAGAAGCAGTACATCAAACCCTGGCCTCTAAGGCTCTCTAGGCTGGCTTAGACAGGGCAACACAATCTAAGCACACTAAGCATGGAGGTATCCAGATCGTAAAGTAACCCTAATATCAGCTGAGCATAAAAGGAATCGGAAATTACCTGAGGAGCTCACTTGCCCTGCAAAGTTAATTGTACATGCAGACCTTTCTCTTCAGCGTTTTGATCATGCTATTCCAAATCTATGGATTCCTTAAATGGTCTCTATTTCTATTATCCCTTTATGCTACTTGTAAATGAACACCAACTACTGGAAAAACAAATTAAGACTCAACTGCTGTACTAAGAGGAAAAAGTAATACTCCACATGCCACAGCTAAGGTATCTAAGAATCCAAATGTGAAGATATCTCTGTGACTACTATATAGGTGGTACATCAAGTCAGCAGTCACACACAGAGAAGACAGGTGAGAAAACAGAGAAAATGAAAGTAACACATCAGGAAGAAAAGACCAAAAGGAGTGGTTAGGTAGAATCAAAAAAGAAGTCAGTACTTTCAAACCTCTTCTGCAACTTGACTCGATCAGGTTTGTTCTGTCCCCCAATATCTTATTTTAAAACAAGATTACAGAAATAGATTACAGCAGACAGAACGCTAACCTGCAATCACTTACCAAAGAATCAGGGATATCTAGAGGGCAAGAACTGTCACTTGAATAGAGCTTTCTTTTAGCTCGTTTTGGCTTGAGCTCGTTTCCTTTGACACTTTCTGGTTCTGCAGACTTGGGAGAGCTTATTGTTGCCATTAGCTTCTTTGCTACAAGAAAAATTTTATCGTAAATCAATGTCTTAATGGTTTTGTGAGCCTCAAAATTAATGAATGAAGGTTTAACGAATAAAGATTTATTAAAACCAGTTAAAAAATGAAATTAATGTAGTCTGAAATTTAAACATAAAAATTCAAGACTGGTATGTATTTGTCTACAACAGTCTTCTCTACCTGGAAACAGTTTTCTAGAGCTTCAAATGCAAAAGCTTCAAGGACACATTTAAATAGCACCAAAAAAAAAAAAAAAAAAAATGTTAAATCCCACAGGAATTGCAAACAGGGCTTAACTTCTTTGTCCTGACAGAAGCACAAGGTTGAGTCAATTTTCTCTATGTACTTGTATAATTTTATCAAACTAGTATTAGTTCTATAAAGAGATGAGTGTGTGCATTTTATGAGCTAGAAGGAGGAAGAGATCCCAAACAATACTGAACTATGCAAAAGAGGGAAAAAATAGAGGACATGGTAATAAAGGCTACAAATTAGACCTCATTTGATGAAATTAAGCATTTTCAGGGTGAAATTTTGAGTAGTCTGAATTTGACTTCCATTGGTAATGACATGTGGTCCTCATGGAACCACTATGGCAAATGTGGAAAATCTTAAAAATACCACTATCTTAATTTTAACTGTCCATATGGAATAGTGACTGACCTTGTTTTAACCAGCCAAATAATAGTGTCTTTTAGAATTTAACACTGGTAATTCCTTGTGCCCTCTGCTAATCTTAATCTTTTTTTTTTAAAAAACCCAGTAACTCAGAAGTCATGTCTTACTGTAGGAAAGAATAAAAATATATTCTTCAGTGGGAAGTCCTAGGAGTTAATTCTCCCAAGGCTATGCTTAAACTTCATGAAATCCATTAATGGCTTCATAGCTAGTTTAATTGAAGTCTTCCACATATTTTCAGGAGATACTGGCTTTCAGACTCTGTAGGACTAATCTTCCTCTCCCATATACATACTTCAAAAAACATTAATACAACTTCCACAGAAAGAAAGCGGTGAGTGGGGTAGGGATGGCTTACAGAACAAGGTCAGATCTGGGTTTGAATTCAACTCTTGATTTTTTTAGATCAGCAGGTCAAGTTTCTGAAACTGCCTTTAATTGTTTTACTGTAAGCAAGAACAAAGTAACTCAGACATTTCGAGCTTAATATTGCTTTTAGGATCAATTTATACACACATATTCCACAGTGCATCCTTTCGCTCTACCTGGCTTACCTTTCACACTTAACCTAAACTCTAGAACCATGTGGTCCTTGCAATCCAGTCAGCCTCTCCTACTCTGCAAGATTCAGTACAGCAGGCCCAGTTCAGACTCCATTATTTCATAAATGAAAGAACAACTTGATGCAGCAGATGTGTCCATTGACAGCATATACGTTAACTGATTACGGTAGAAAAAAAGCTATTCTACAATACCCAGGTAACATGGAATAAGCCTTATTTATTCTGCACAAACCTTTAGAGTGAATAATAGTAGGAGAACGTTGGAAAAAATCTTCAATTTTTTTTAGTGTTCCATCTTTCTTTTTAGCTGACTTTTTACTTGAAGTAGATTTTTGCTTTCTTAAGGGGTCTTCTTTTCTAAACAGCTGTTTAGAAGACATCTGTACAGAAATACAAGATCATTGCTTAAATTGAAAAATTGACTTATTTTCAAGTTTAATTCCATTTTATTTGACTTCCATCTTATTTTCAAGCTGACAATTTGAGCTTTGCTACCGATACCTCTGTTCATTATCCTAATGATGATGCCACAGCAAGCAATGTAGACAACCTTATTTTATACCCAAAAGAAAAAAAATTGTCAGAGTTTCAGAGAATACACCTAAGTGCATGAGTAATATAGGAAAAAAATAGTTTCATTTTAAAAAGTAGATTCAAATTTTTTTTAGAGTATTTCATTAGACCAGCTGTTCTAGTTATAAACCAGAAGGAAACTGATGGGGAAAAACTAATCTCCTGTCTGCCCTTTGAGCCTGCCTAAAATCATATTTTTATAATTGTCATGCATATAGATGACACAAACCTTAGTTTTACTTCAAAAGGCATTACCTATAACATCACACATGCTAAGAGTATGTTCAAACTCTCTTCCTAACTACTCAGCATGTACCATACTCCCCTGTGACTCACTGTACACTGCAGCTAGGGCACATTCTTGGCAAATACAGACTGATTCTCTTTCGTTAGCTTATAAAGCTTAGGATTTTTAAACACTTAACGTTGTCTTCCTACTATTAAAATACATAGGTAATGATCAGACAGTGATGAATAAGAACGCTTGCTCCTTTCACAAGTCCAGCTTTACAGAAAAGGTGGAGCTGTGAAAGGAGAAACTGACTTCAAAATTGAACAAAACCAAACTATTCTCTTGCTGCTCGTAGAAGGTGAATTAGGCATAGCAGGTTTTACATTTTTGTTCTCTCTTTTCACAAAATACTAAGAAAGTAAATATGACAAATTTTAACTAGGATTCTTCTGGAAAGAATAATGATCACCTATATTAGAGAAGCAGGCACTGTTTAAATGCTGTGACCAACAGTAGGGAGGCATTGACTGGATAGAGGTAACTCTTCAAATGGGAAATAAACACTCAACAAACTTGTGGAAGGGAACTAGAAATGCCTGTAGTCAAACCATTCTGACATTTACTGTTCTCTCCATTATTTCCTATACTTTTGTCTTTAAGAGACTGGACAAGCCAGCACACAAATTGAAATTAATAAATCTAAGTGTAAATTCAGATTTATGGTGACAAGTATGAAAAATGAGGTTGGTAGCACAGCGCCATTGTTAAGCTGTCTTTTAATGACATCTTCTGTCTTGTGAAGCGGTGTCAAGAGATTTCAGATAACCAACAGCCAGACCAACTGATAACAGCATGAGAAAATGGAAAGAGGATTTTATTCTTTAATTATGAGGGAGTCTCTGCAGAAGATTCGATTTTGTTTGTTTCTAAAAAAAACAAACAAGGAGTTTTTATTTTTTTTAAAAAAATCGACACGAGCAGTATGTAGTTATTTTAGCACTACAGGTCTCCCCTGAGTCCTTAGTTTTACTTTTAACAATGCTGTTCAGTCTTAGGAAGCTTAAAAAACAAACTTGTGTCTTCAGTAGACTTGTAACAGTTAAAGTTACTGAATCATCTCAATCTATTTCTGCTTGGCATATGTAACATGAAGATAAATATTTAAGAATAACATTCAGGTGAATAAAACAGCAATAAGATACTTTTAAAATTAGTTCCATGTTATTGAAAAATTACTTAGCTGACTGTTATCCCATCGGGGTATGAACATGCACACTGTGAGAGGATTTATAGATGGATTGGTAAAACAGTCTTCTCAAAAGATGGATAACTATGTTAGATGAAATATATTCATCTGAAGATAAGGCTTAGTATTTTTCCAGTGCCTTCAGAAGGATGGATATTTTTGCACTTACTTTTCCAGCAGCCTGAGAAAATATTACTCTCAAAAAAAATTGGTTCAAGACCTAAGAAGTTCAAATAAACTCTGGACATTATTCCAGAATGAAATGCTTCAAACTAACTTACACAGCTTTTAACGGTTACTTTTGCAATCCAAGTTCAACAAAATGAGTTTACTGAAGTACTGTTGGACACTAATCACTGAAGTGACCATTTCCCTTAACTACTTTACTAAGAGATTAAAAAAACATCACTTGAGAACACCTGAACAAGAATGCTAGAAAAGCATCACAATACTTCACTCTCCAGCTGAGACAAACTCATTCAATGCATCACTTAGCACTTATGCAGATGATCCACAAGTCATCTCCATTATACTCACCTGTCAGCTGCAGAAGTCCTTAGAAGTACAGAGATTCATAAGCCCCACAAGTAGGGTCACAAGTATGTAAGTACCACCACAATGAGGTTTCAGGGTTTCATAGACTTTGTAAGTGTCTTAGAAATAGCTGTGTGCTAATGCTGATAGAAGTCAGGGGAAAGAAATGTGCAGTTCAGGTAGGAGCAGTGAAGATTTTTACCACCCCAAACTGCTGTGTAGCCTTAGTCTCGCACATAAACACCACAGCATACTAAGAAGGCTGGTGCATATAACCTAGCACAGCTGAAGGAATTAAGAATAATTAAGGTCTACAGAAAACAGGGGGGTTCAGGTGCTCGTGCAATTAGTTCTGTACATTCCCTCTAAGTACAAGATCAAAGGAAACACAGACTGGACAAAAAGTCAAAAGGAAGAGGTCTTGAAACTCTGAAATGAATTCATTAAACCCAGGGGTTTAGCTTTTAATTGCATATTAGAAGAGATTATGCTTGATACCAATGGTTGCTTAAAACAAAAGAAGCAGTTCCACTGAACTGGTCTCTAATCCTGCAGATCACAGCTAGAGACAGAAGCAAATCCTAAGAGCAAGGAGAGAGAAATGTAAAAGGTAAAGAGGAAGCACATATCAGGGACAAGTGTCCAGAGTGTGGATAAACTGAAATCCATGACTATTCAACATAGGCCAGAGATCCACCACTTGGGAGGAGGCGGGGCATGGGGGGGTGGGGAGGTTTAAATATTCTCTATATATGTCCTTAGGATCTCAGTGAGAATCAAAAGGATAGGATTTTAACATATGATCAGAGTAAGAAATTGGAAGACTGCATGTTGGAGAACGGCTAGCAGAACAAGGCCATAGCTCTCTGCAGGAGCTGGTCGGCCATAGCTCCCTGCAGAAGTCAGTCACAGCCACCTGAGGTAAACAGAGGAAAAAACCCAGGGTACAGTTATACTAACAAGGAAGGAGATTCAAGGCTCAGTGATGCTAACAGGGACAGTTGTGAGAACAAATAGGTAAGTTGGGGCGCATTATGACCTTGGGGGTGAGAGGAAAACAGCCCTGAGAGGGAAGCAGGTTCACAGGAAGAAAGATGTTTATGCATACCAGAAATGCCACAAGGGGCTGGGATATTATAATGTGACCTTTTAGATGTACCCAATGGCTGAGATATTATAATGTAGTTTCTTAAACGTATCCAATAGAGTTGCAAGTAGTGTATTGTAGAGTGCTTATATAAGGTGTGATTTCTTTCAATAAAGTTGAAGCTTGCTCTATCATTCACATTGAATCGGCTGCTTGCTTCCTCCGCCCGCCGCAACTGCACAACATTTAGTCAGTTGGTCTAGGCCATACCTCATCCATCTCTTCACTCTTCCTCTTCCTTCTTGGCTTGAGCATTTTAACTGTAACTGGTAAGGTGCTGCCCTGGTGTTTCACCTCCACCTTATTGGGTTGCAGAGGTGTGAACTGGATTTCCATCTCTGGTTTTGGGAACCGACTAGTATTTCCATTTTCTGTGGACACTTCTGAAGAGTCGAGGACAATTTCTGAATGGTCCTGTAAATACACGGAAATTTTAAGAACACAAGTTTTAAAATAACCGAGTTAAAAAAACCCTTAATACATCTCTTTCCCCAATGGATTGCAAAGTAAGCATTCCATTTTCCAGCTGTTCACTTCCAGAACACTTCTAATTGAAAGAATCTACTTCAACCAAAGCAGAGTTTAACCCTTACTTCTAAATCTTTGTTAGGTTTAAAAAAGTTAACGTTTCTATTCACAATCACAGAACTTGAACTCAGCCTGATGCTTTGTTTTCAAGCCATTTTGCTCAAGGGCAGAGACAGAGTCACAGTTTTCACAAGTAGCAGTAGAAGAACTGACATGACTTTCATCTTAACTCTGCTGCTCCTTAGGAGCTAGGCAGTAATGTGAGTTTTTGAGAAAAAAGTATAACCTTTCTCTAGCCTATCTTTAAGGAACTCTCCCTTCCCCTTCTACACCAGGGAAATTGTGTAAGTAACAAGGGCCAACTAGCAAGCTACAAGCCCAATTCAACCCATGAGAGACTTCTCCATCACCACCTGTTTGTTCTCTGGAGGAAGAGCAGGCATTAAGGCAGCCTTTTGACCACAAGCTGAAAAACTTGTCTTGTACCTGCTCACAGCCAAACCACAACTGCAGAGTGAGGGTGGGACAGAAAAGTCAGTTTGCACAATTCTTCTTCCTCAGCAGCACTAACCTTCCACCATCCACCCAACCCTGTTTTTCTTAGCAAAACCAGCAAGTTAGAGCTGTCGTCTTCCCAGCTCCTGCATCTCTGTGGCAGCAGTTTAGCTGCTGGCTAGCATACAGGAATTGATTCAGCAGCTGTTTGAATGAAACCTGAAAGACAGGCTGCTGGGATGGTTGGTGGTTAGAAATTGCAGGTGGCTGCTGCTACTGCTGCTGCTAGTAGGGTCCCAAACAGAGCAGCTGCTGTTGCATCTTGAAGGGCACCTTCCTCCTCTCAAAAAGGAAAATGATCAAAGCTCATGGAAAGCCCAAAGACAGTCACATTCTTCAACAGGCTCTGCTGGGATTCTGAGTGGGAGTATGAGCACCACTGCATTCCCAAGAATGGAGTTGGCTAATACAAACATTTTTCTTTGTAACTGCTACTTCAGGAGAGTTAGCAATCAAAAAGTCACACAGGAAGGGCTGGTGTCATTAGTTAACAAAAGCTACACATGAGAATCCTGCAGTGGAAGAAAGCAAATCCAATTTGCCCTGCTATTGCTCATCCATTTAAAAGGGTTTATATATTTGTTTCCAGTGACTTATCTAATAATCAGCCACTTCACAAGCATTGGTGAGAGGTAGGATTTCAAGAGCATGCAGCTCAAGTCATATATAGCTGTTCACATGATTACCTTACACATCTTTTATTTCTACCAGAAGCCACTAAAATCAGGTGATCTGATCACCAAGACAGCTATTTGCAGCATAAGACTTCAGAATTGTTCAGACAACAGGATACATTTTCTTTCCTCTTCTGCGTTTAGCAAAACCCATACAACTGCATAAAATTTTTACGTTTCAGTTTTGTACCAACCTCACTTAACAAAGAGGCACTGCTAGGACATCAAGATAACAAATAATTTCCCTTTAACTTCATCGGATCTAACTGAAAATCTTGACAAAGTATAGGATTAGTCCTGCTTTGTTTTTCCATAAACTGTAAATATTTAGAATAAGAAAAAAATTATGCTAAACTAAGACTCAAAATATTTTGATTTTTCTAAAGCTACAATATAAAAGCTCAAGTGCAGACAGCTAATGAACACCTGGGCTGAAAGACAACACAAGTTTAAAGCAGTAACCTCTACTCACAATGCCATCACTCACAATGCCACATGCCCTGTCTGGGTCTCACCAACAGCCCGTCTAGTTCAATACTCTGCCCCAAGAGTGGGAGATGCTATTTAAAGATAACATGTGTGATCCTGGTCACCTTGTCATCTGTTCTCCCCATACTCTCCCATCATTCTTACCTGTTGCATTAGGGTTGTCAGTCTACACCACTGCTTAACCCTCAGAGTATTCATTTAAAAATTATTTATGAATTTCTACTACAAAATTTTTCCAATCCCTGCTCACAGTAACTGCTTCAACCACCTCCAGAAGATTACTAGCTGCTTCATATAGGAATATGTTATTTTAACTGTCTTAAGATCATCTCCTATTAGTTTCATGAAGGGCTGCCAGGTTCTTGCAGGATTTTAGCAAGGACAGTTCTGCCTTCTGTCTACCCATCGCAGCCATGAATTTGCAAACCTCAGCCCCACAACCCTCCGGTGGCCTTAACCTCTCATAATCAGAGTGCCAGCTTTTTAGCCTCTCCTCACAAGTCAGGACACACACATCATCCTGATCACTTTAGATTTTCTTCATCTCCACTATCTCTTTCTTGAGAATTATCTGACTTCCCCCCAACACTACTCCATTCACTTCACCACCGTAACAGTTTCTCACATGATAATCCTGTTAGTAGCCTCTCCTTATTCATAACATCAAGTACGGTGGCTACTGCCTTGAGGTAAATACTTCAGCAGCAACCGTTCACAACAATCCATCTCTATAACTAATTTTATAGCAAAAATAACTAATTTTATGGTGCTCTCATCTGCCATTACAAAGCTATATAAAGCAATAACCACTCTGAGAGCTACTCTCTACTCCCTCACACATCACAAGCTTTATCTATACAGCACCAGGTGAACTGATGAAGTAGCAAGAAACTGGCCAGTCTTGTTTGGCAGCAGACAGGAAAGAGATGAGGAGATGCATTTTATCATTCAGCCCAGTTCTGCACAAGAGGAGAATCGCATCTTCCAGCAGTCAGGGGACGGCCTGCTAAGAATCCCTGTTCAGCTCTCTTCATTACTAGTTAGCAATGGAGTCACACAGCATTAATTCAGTTTAATGGGAAAACTACCTCATTAAATACTGCTCATGTAGCACACAAGGGCCTGGTCAGAATCAGAAGACACAGTGCAGGTGCAAGACTTTTCATTTTTGTTCAGGAAACATGCAAAGTCGATCTTTTCTTTGTGTACACTTCAAATATTGTTTTGTTTTGAAGTAAGATGCAAGATACTGTTCTGTTCTTGTGAACCCCATATGGGCTGGCAGCTATAATTACAGAACCACCTCTACCTACCACAGTATAAGTGGTATCAGGAAAGCCGTTGGAGCTGAAATCCCCTTAGCACTGACGTTAACAAACAGAGATGACATCACAAATATTACATCTTCAAATCTCTAGAGCCTGGATTAGTTAGCTAGTTTCTCCCCTCAGGTACATAAGTTGTACATTGTATAGAAAGGTGGCATTCTCTTAACTAAAGTACTTCTTTTTCTGAGAGGGAACTTGAAAGAGGGAGAGAGAAGAATGAACAAGAACACAGAACTAATGATATAGTTAAAGTACAAAGAACTACAGAAAGGGACTTTTGGGAGATTCTCCATGTTGCAGAAATATACACCGAGAAAACAACAAAGACGTTATTAACACCATATCATTAGTACATACTTTCTATAAATATAACAAATCATACCTCTTTGTTTACAGACTGATCTATTTTATCTTGTCCTTCAGGTAAAGGTACTTCTGCCAAAGACTGAAGACTTTTATGGTTAATGAGTTGTTTCAACTCCTTTATAAAGTCCTCTTTCTCAGCCAGCTGTTTCCTTAGTTCTTCTATATCAGCTTCCTCATCCTAATAAACATAGCAAAAATTGCCACAAATTGCAGGATTGGCAAAAGAAATTAACATGTGCATGAGCATCATTACAATTACGTGGTAGCATCAGTTTTAGGATTGCAGACTCTAACAGCCAGCTGTGCAACAAAGAGCCAACAACTTCACATAAGAGTGACCTCTATTTAAAGTCACGAAAAGTCATATAACAGCCTGGGAAGATGTAATGTAAACTTTTTTATGTTACTCTACTCAAGTAGGGTTATAAGAAGTTCACCTCCCATTTCGTTGTGAAGTTCTTGGCTCTGTGAAAAAGGCAGAGGATGCGATAGTGGTTTCACATTTCCAGTCCAATCAAATCACAATCAAATGATCAGACTTGAATATTTCATTGAACTGCTAAGTTTTTTGAAACTTCAGTTACTGTTACAAATTCAGTTTCATAAGCATAAAGCTTTTTTTTTTTTTATATTAGCTGCAAACAATTTCACTATGTTTGAAAGAGAACCAAAATGTAGTGTTTTGCAGAATTAGTGAATACGAAGAGAAAAATCAAAAGAACCAACTACAAGCAAATCCCACAGGAACAAGAGAGAATGAGAGAGGACCTTTCCTGAATCCTTCACTGCAGCTTGTTTCAGTTCTGCTATCTCTTTGTCTTTTTGTACGGTGATAGAAGCCAAAGTCTTGAGCTGTACTTCCAAAGCTTCTACTAATTTATCTCTTTCTTCACGCCACTTTTGAAGATTGCTGTCCTTTTCTACCAGCTGTGCAGCAAGTCTTTCCTGAATGGGGGGAAAAAAATAGGTTAGAATTGAACACCACTTCTACAAACCATCTGAACTGTTCTGATAGTTTAGTATTGCATAGTTAGTACTATTTTATGGCCTTGGTAGGCTTGAGAGCCTACGTAGGTCTTAAAAAGCTCACACAGAACTAGTTTCACTACAAATATACAAAAGCAAACCAGGCTTCAAATGAGAAAAAACTGTATCTATATTTGCACTCTTTGTGAATAGAATTTTTGTCAAGAATCACCACTCCTGTTTGCCCACTTTCTGATTTTATTACTAGAAAGTGTCAGGCAAGAAAAGTCACAGACAAAGTGCAAGTAGTCCCAAACTCCTAACATCCCTCTGTACGGACTGCAGGTCCAGAAGGTCATTGCTAACTACTTCTAGATGCAAGTACAGTTTTAAATTGCACAGACTCATACAATAATTTCATATGCTTAGGAAATTACAACCTTGGTACAGCCCAGTGACCAGGCAAGGTATCCACCTTGTTATTCACTATCAGTCACTCTACTTTCAAAGTGACATGGGAGCAAAACCACTAGCATTTTGACCAAATGCTTTTACTGGAAAGATATGGAAAGAAGCTATTTTTGTCAACTACTGCTTGCTTCTTCTCTTCCTTCTAAAGCCTTATATAGGCTTCCCACTGCCCACCCGACCCCCCTTTTATTTATTTTAATTTTTTTGTCAGAAGAGCCAAGCAATAAATCTTGGTTTTCAGGGTATGTTTTCTCAGCTTCATTAAGCAGCAATTCATTTAAGCACAGGTTACTTATTGGTGTTTTACACACAAGATGAAGTCTGAAGAATTCATAGCAAGGTGGTGGTGGTGACAGGATAGAAAAGAACAGGCACACTAACTTCCATTACGTATTACACTTTTATTTTGTGACACTACTATTCTTCCCTTTTCACATGGAGAAGATCTCATGTGGGCTTTGCATGTGATAAAGTGAGGGGACTTTGTCAAAGGCCTGCTCCCCTCGAGCGCCCACACTGTTAACACTTGATCTGCTCTGTATGTAAAGACTTGCGCTAGAGGACTCTGCTGAGACCTCCAGTCACTTACAATTTCCGCTTGTTGCTCTACATAACGTTCTCTGTTCTCTGCAAATTTTCTCATTTCTCTGTTGCGATGGCTCTCAGCTTCTTTCACTTGACTTATGAGTCTCATTTTTTCCTCCAGCCAATTCTTTCTATCGGTTTGATACTTTGCCTCATTCTCCTATTTCGGTGGAACCAGAAATAAAGCCATAGGCAGAGATTAAGCAACACAAAAAGTAGTCTTAAAATCCAGTAGTTTCAAAAAGATAACAGAAATACTAGCACAGTTTTACTCCAGCATATTCCTAAGTATTACATTCTCATTTGTTCTTTTCCATTTAAAAAAAAAATCTTCAGCAGTTTTCAGACCTTATTATTCAGACTGGCATGTCTTCAGGGAACAGACTTTTTTCGCCCCCCTCTAAAAAATTCTCAGGGTAAGTCACAAACACTATTAAAGTTACACCAAAGGTAATGGCAAAAAGACCTTTTACTATACAAATTCCCAATCTTTTATAGTGCCTTGTGGAACATGTCAGGAAACCTACTTCAAGACTGAAAGGCCAAAAATGCAGCACAATTTGAATGTTAAACAGAGATAGCGTGTAACTAAGAATGTCCCTTTGCCGCCTTTCCTACTACAATCAAACCTCTTGTCAGACATTCTCCCACACAGGACAGAAGGCACCTGAAAAGCTGCTTGGGAAAAAAAAGTTTTTCTAATCCAAGGAGAACTAAGAGGTAAATCCTCAGCCTAAGAGGAAGGGCTTACAGGTCACACAGCAAGCACAAATTCTTTAAAGAGTCTGATTTGTCTGCCCAAGCAACTGATGGGAAAAAGGCTTGAAACAACCCAGCTCCTGACATCTGTTCAAGACAGCTACAGGAGGAGCCCAGCTACAGATGCACCGTCCATGGCAGCACAACACAGCGCACGGTGCACTCCACTGTGGGGCAGCAGTGATGCTGGAGATTACAAAGACACTGCATCCAGACTTTGCTGCACTGACACACTGCAGTTTTTAGAGGAGGTTTCCTTTACCAGAATTTGCAACATTGTGCCCTAGTTCTTGAAACTAGCAACACAAAAAAAAATTTAGACTCCTAATTGAAGCTTATGGCTTTAAACCTAATATGAATTACAGCCCCATATTTTACCTTCAGTTCTTTTTGCAGCTTTATTAATTCCTCATTTTCAGCTCTGTTTTTTTCTGAGGCGTTGCTCATCTTTTGCTGCCAGTCTCTATTGCTCTGGTTATTCAGCTCTCTACATTTCTGCTTCCATGCTTCCAGTTCTAGTCAGTACACAAATTGAGGTTATATAACATACAATTTTAAATGCATATTTGACCACATTCACATCCTTCTACTAAAGTTACTTGGATTTATCAGCTATGACCACAGAGGGACAACACAAGCCTTTAACTGTTGGAAGTTTGTTATGTCCTATATAAAATTAATGCCTAAATAACACTCAACAAATCAAAGCAGAGATTTAAAGCAGCTATCACAACACATCCAAAACAATTTTGTCTCCGTGCTCCTTTCCATGGAGAGATTACCCCAAACTAATCTGTTGGTCTCTTCTAATTTGGCTTCAAGCACTTGATCCTGTTTAATCTGAGTCTGTTCTTGTTCTTCTAATGTCATCCGCATATCTTCAATTATTTTTTCCTTTGCACACAGATCTGAAAATAAATTTACAGATCAGACCCCATCCTAGTTACCACCATTCTCTCCCAGAGTGCCTTCATCACAAAATTCCCCCATTTCCTGAGATCTAAAGCTCTATCAGAAAGAAATAGAGCATCTCTGCAGAACTTTCCAAATCCAGAATTCTGAAGTGATTCTCATCAGCTTGACTTAGGTGAGCATTTTAGAGTTAATGTCAGATTAAGGCTTGTATCCTATGACAAACTAACTATTGTTCCACTGCTACATGTTTATCAAACCTGCAAAAACTGTTATTGTGCTAGTTCATGTTTCAGTGTCTGACTTTGTTAACGTGGCCAACTAAAGGGGCAAAGAAATACCAACATCTAGTAAATTACCACTGATACAGCAAATCCAGTTTTCTTTGGGGCTTATGTGTCTTACTCTAAGACTGTTTCTTTGCTTTCAAATATTCCTGCTAATAAGGATTCAATAAAAATTAGTTCCTGACTGTAACATTTTAATGCCCAGGTTGGAGTTTCTCAGTATTTTAAAATATAAATATGCAAGACTCTCCAAATTAGATGACATCACAAATTATTATTCTGCCACTCTACACCCAAAAAATAGCACAATGAGGGCTTTTTCTGACCTTTACATGCTTCCTCATACTGTTTGGAGACTGCTTCCAGCTTCTCATTATTCAACTGCTCCTAAATATCACATTGAAAGTGAATTAAAGAAAACATATCAAAAACATGTTGAAAGAAACAAATATACATGCTGGATATTAGCAGCTTCTCATTCTGAGCTTTAATAAATAACAAAATATTTAAAGTCAAACAGATGAGAATAAATAAGCTTTTCATATAGTGAAAGGAGCATTCAGGCTGACTTAAAAAGTGTTTAGAAGACATTACTACTAACATATCTGTCACTCATCAGAATCAGGGTATCTGCAGGTACTAAGTACGTATTTACTAGGCAGATTACTCTATTTAAAACAATTTGCCTACGTCCTGCAGTGAGAAGTTCTTCAAAACATCTTTCATTCATCCATTAAGACTAATTTCAGCTGGCTACCCTTGGTTTTACCCCAATTTCTGTAGGCTTTCTCCTGTTGGTTGGAAAATTTGCCTCATTACTGGATTAGTTAAAAAAATTAAAAGCAAGTAAAATTTTAAAAAAATATAATACCTTTTTAAATTGCAAAATTGTACGCTGTTTCATCTCTAATTCTTTACTAAGCTGGATTTTAATTTTCTCAAGTTCATCAACTTTGTTCCTCAGGGATTTCTCCTCCGATTGCATTGCACACACCTGTAACAACGTACAAAGACAGCAAGCAAAGCTAACATTTAGCTATAAGCCTTTTACAAGCTCTGCAAGTTATCTAAATAAAAAAAATATTTTAATCAAGAATCAAGTATTTGCAAGCATCTTTGCTAATTTTCAGGGGCTAGAAGTGTACTATACTGTACATCCTTCCTAGGGAACAATTTTCACCATAGAATAGAGCATTAAATTTGGCAGGGAAAAGAAAAACAAACCACACCACCAAAACCAAACCACCAGGAAACAACCTAACCAAACTACAAATTCAGTTGTCCTTTAAAGAAGAAAAAAGTGTTTCCTGACATGTGATCCCATCCAGTCCTTGCTACTTCTCAAACGATTATACATTGCACATTGAGTAGGGAAAATGTCCTGAAATGTCAGGCTGCTGAGGAAGACATTAATACTTTTTTAAAGTTTAACTTGCAAGCCCAAACTCTTGCAGTAGTCATCTGGATTTTAAGTTCTTGTGATATCCCATGAGGCTCTAAGAAATCCTACTGCTTAATAACTGAATACTAACAATCATCATTAGTAAAAGCTATTCCATTTTTTCTTTTTTTTTTCCCCAAACTTAATAGAAAACGTCTCAGATTTAAAAAAGTCTCTAGAAGTTTGTGCTTTCCTTTTCCAGTTAATCCATCCTGTCCTCCCAGAGATGACATTTTCCAAGAGTCTGCATTCTGAGGCTTTTAAGTCAGCACAAGTAACAACATAAGGCTACTGTTGTTATGAAGACCACAAAGTCCTCCTCCATAACCAGGTGAGCCTACTTTTGACAAGCCTTTTTTCAAGTGTATTAATAAAATTTACTTCCCCCCCTTCCATAGCAGTACTAATCCACGTTTTGACATCCGCTCTTATCTTTACCTTACAGCTCAATGGCAAGGTCACTTAAGCTTCCCTCTAACTGGATCACTGAACGCAGCCTTATTGTGAACCACTTTTAACAGCTGTAGCTTGAGACTGGTTAAAACAGGTTTTATAATAGAACCCCAAACAAACTTGCAGAAGAAACACTTGGCCTGTGGTTACAAACCTGGTTTTGTACTTGCTGAATTTGTTTCTTGGCATCACAAAACTTCTCTTTCAAATCTGCATATTCTTCCTCTTTCCTCTGCAAATCTTTTTTCAAACGCTGTACAAGGGCAGAACTCTCAGAAAGATTTTTACGTAGCCTTGCGTTAGAAATTAAGAGACATAAATAACATTAGTGTTATACATCTCAAAGAAACAGCTTTTACACATTAACTCAGGCTCTTCGATGGCTGGCTTTATTCATGAAGAGAATCGCAGATCTAACAGCTAAATGACAAACTATATAATTTTACTTCTGGATTTCAGCTACTTATTACATGATCCTGAAGTAACAAACCACTCATTTACTCTTGAACAGTGAGATTTTTTAAAATTTTTTTTTTTAAAGCACGGTAGAGTAACCATTTCTATGATTAGATGTTCTTACACAGTAACAAAAGGGACAAAGTTAATATCAATTAATTTTAAACTTGATATTTACATCCCAGCCCTTGTAAGGATCAAAAATACAAACTAAAAAAGAAAGTTAAAAAAATATTTAACAAGTCCTGTTGTTATTAAGTGCTATGAAATAATTAGGAAGTTTAATGGGCTTATTTTTAAATGGTCATATTTATTTTAAAAAGCTTACACTAAGTTATCTTGGATTTTTACTTTACAATTAACCAATAGAAGATTTCTTAAATTCTATAATTAACAGTACAAAATAAGGTCTCACAAAAGGAAAACCTTTCAACATTTTACAAGCACAGGGTCAGGGATCCCAAGACCTTCATGCTAAACTGTGTTTTATAGTACACGCAGCTGCCCACCGTTATTGCAACTAAAAGAAACCCCAGTCAGAAGGGCTACATGGCATCTTAAAGCCATTTTTACATGATCCCAATTTCCTTGCCACAGAGCAAATACAATCTCTCAGATACATTTAATCTCTTATTTCTTAAAGATTTAAAAAGTAGAGAGGGCTCAGGAAGTTCTACTCTCCGACACCCATTATTCCTTCAAGTTCTTATAGTATACTGTGTTCACCTAGAATAGCTATTACCAAAGCTAGCTGTTTACTGTTTAATTACTAGGCTTTTTATTTTTTCCTTTCTTCTTTTCCTTTTCACCATTCAGTCCTTTCCAAAGAAAACACTGCCTGCTTTTATACGTGTTACAGGATATAACATTAAGCAATGTCATTTCCTCCAAAAAGGGTATGCAACATAATACTATTAGAAATTCCCAAATAATCCAGCATTTCCTGTTTCCCCCTACAAGAGTTCTGCATGATTTGGATCTGTATTTCTGAAAGAATACACAAACAGGGGTGGAAAACATAGCTAGCAAAATATGCAAACATAGAGATTAAGTAGTGTAATATTAAGAGCTCTTCATCAGCTCTTTATTTAACCAAACCATATTTGGTTAATAAAGTTGACAAACATGCAAGTGTGTTATGTCAAAATAAACCCATGTTCACAGAAGGTAGTTTTAACTTGAGTCTCAAAGGGCTAGGAATTCTCTCATTATTTACTTACAATTCTATAATTTGTATTTGCTCATCTTCATTTTTCTCTTTTTCTTGAAGAGTGTGTTTCACATTTTCCAAGCTGTTCCTCAACTGCACAACTTCGTCCCTTAGATCTGCTTTCTGATCATTTAATTCTTTCAGTTTTTTGTCTGAATTGGCACATTCCTCCCGCAGAGCCTCTGTATCAGTTTCCAGATTGTTAATAATAGAGTTTTTTCCTTGAAGTACTTCTTCTAACCATGTTATGATGGCATCTTTAGTTCTAGAAGTATCCAAAAGGCATTCAAGCTCTGTTATTTTTTTCTGGTAGCTGGCTACTTGCTCTTCAAGCTGTGCAATTACTTCTTGATCCTCTGCAGCCTGGTGATCCTGCTGATCTTGATTTGCAGCCTCATTTAACCTTATTTGAAGTTGATTATTATAATTCTCAGCATCATCAAGTCCCTTCTTTAAGTCTTCAACTTGTTTAAGTAGTTCTTGAATCCGCTGACTTTTTTGTGAAGAAGCCTTAACAATATTTTTGCATTCTTCCCAAATGCTTTCCACACTGCAATGAAAGGAGTTCTCCTGTCTCAGATCTGCTGTGGAAGCAGTTTGGGACTCCAAGCATACAGGACTCATTAGAGCTCTATCTAGTTCATCTTTCTGAGAGTCTGAGGAGTCTTCTAGATGAACGGAATCAATATCAGTGTAAGATTCTAACTGACATTTATACAACTCATCTACTTTGGACTGCATTGTTTTAATTAGTGACACTTTATAAATTATATTTTGTTTAGCACCTTCTACTTCATTATTTAGCTGAATAATCTTTTCTTTTCGTTCCCTATTGATAGTTTTCTGTTTCTCCAATTCAGAAACAATCTCCTGATAGTCAGCTCGACACCGCTGAAGTTCTTCATCTAAGCCAGAAGCCCTTTCTTCAGAAGCAGAGAGCTTGAGATTCAAGTTTTTAATTTGCCCACTGAGCTCTTCTTTTTTGTTTTTTTCTCTTCTGCATTGTTCTTCAAGTGCAGCTAGCTGACCTTCCAAGGTTTCAGTTCTTTCCTTCAATGCTAGGATTTCTGCAGAGTTCTCAGTTTTATTTGTTGTCACATACTCAGTTCTCTTTTGGTCTAGAGAGTCATCTTCCCAACTCTCCTTCATACATCCTGAAAAAAATCCAGACCCCACAATAACAGTTCAGGATGACTCAAATCAATAGTACAAGTCACTAGCACTACCAAATAGCAATTACTATATGGAAAATGGTCACCATCTGAAAGCCACCCCCTTATATCCTATGGCATTTTGAAGTCCTGAAGTAAAGACCCTCTGAACAGTCTAAAATGCAGTAGGTGCCTCTTAGGCTTATAGACAGTTTGCAGCATTCAAGAGCCTTAAGAACATTTTGCCATGGCTCTGTTCCAGCCTTCTACTCTGCGCCACTACAGAAAAATCTAGCTAGATTTACTAATATGTAGTAATAGCTGTGAGCTAGATAATGTTCACCATTATGTCTAGTTTCCACTTTCACTGGTTCAACAATACTGTTAATACAGCCAATCACCCATTTTACATTTAGAAAAGGAATGGCATTGTATACTTTCCTGAGAATTTTCAGTCATACTCCATATGTCCTTACTTTAAAAGTTAGGCTAGAAATCCAGCACAAGTTTTCTGCTTAGTGTTTGGGACTGTCTTCTCTTTTTTTCAGTTGGTTTCTAAACTAGATACAAGGATAACTACTTATGCCCACATCTAATGTGTTGCATGTAAGGTTCTCCCAGAAAGATCTACAATATTCTATCACAATCCCAAATTTCCATCAGCATTTTATTAGCTTAGGACTGTTCCCCCTCCCCGAAGTCAAAACCTCAATTCAGGTTTTGGTTTTTTAGAGGGCTCAAGTTCTACAGGACACTTTTTTCCTCCTGCTTTTCTGTACCTTTTCTTTTCTGTCCTAGCTAGATGTATCAAGCATTCCTGCTCGGTCAGAGGAAACAGCAGCTTTACTTTGGCTTATAAAGCCATGCTTCTAAATACTACAAGATTAAAAATTTGGGAGTTGGAGATGGTTTTCTCTGAAAGCCTAGTTGTATAGCCTCAAGAAAACATATCAGACAAAATATTACAAACTCAACCTCCCACTGGACATCAATTTTACATACTTCACTAACAGGGAGAGGGGCCAAGATGTCTTAAGACGTATTTTGTGATCTAAGGTGCCAAGATACAAAAAGTAGCAGAGGTTTGCCCAACAGCTATAGTGGGAAGGGTACGATGATTCATAAGAGGATTTAGAGGTGATCAAGGTGCTTTGCACTAACAACCACAATCATGTAACAAACTAGGAGAAATATTAGTGCAAGAAGAAACGTGATATTCAGTGCAGAAGCTTCTTATGTAGGAAGTACAAATAAAGGAAGAAAACCCATCCCAAAACATGGGAGGCCAGTCCTAGAGAAGAGTACAAAGACCTGAACCTCAAGACGAGCTGTCTTCTCACGAAATAAGCAGTGGTCATAGGTCACTAGCATGCCTAAATTCTACAAAAGCCATCACAAAGTACCTGTGCTCATTTTTCTATTGTACCAAGTATGTTTAATATGAACAGTTATAAATATAAGTTTAAGTTTCTTCATGACAGAGCATCTAACAAGTCAGTTTTTAAATTAGATGCCTTATATTCTCAATAGTCACAAATCAAACATATTTAACATGACTGACAAGCCTGCTCTTCCCAATAAAAAGAAAACCTCAGTGCTGTCATTAATTGGCCCTGTTATCTAATTTCTTGTTTGAGAAGAGCTATCACTTCTCTATTTTTTGCTTGTTTACACAAGCTTCAGTCATGAGATAAGAAACCTACTAATGTATATCAAAGAGTCTGCATCAGCTTCAGTTCTCACCCCCTTCCTGTAACATTTATATAGGTGGCACTATCAAATGGTCCTGCTAGCATCCAGTATTCATCCCAACCAAAAAAAGGTAGGGACAAATCAGAGATGCATCTGGTACAGACAGAAGCTTTTCTTAAGGAGGACTTCAAATTACACTTATTTGAACAAGTTGCACAGACATCAGAAGTGCCCTAGTGGATGATACACCATCAGTTGACCCAGCCTAATATTTTGCCTCCTTTTGCTGCTGTTGGCAGGCCCAGCCACGTCCCACAAACCTTTTCTGACAGAGGACACCTGGGAATGTTGGTGGAACATGAGACATACATCCCTGCTTAACCATTTCAGTATCTACATATGAACCTGTTAGCTGTTAGCTTGTCTAACCACTCCTGGAATTGGAGAATTATCTGTGTCTCTCACCTTCTAGGGCAGCAAATGCTAGAAGTTCACTACCTGTGGCATGAAGTGCTGTGTTCCATAAACTTAAACTGATCTTCTAGACTAAACATTCCCTTGTTTTTTCGCTGCAGTGAGGAATGACAGTCCAGCATTCAGTTTATTCACCATCTGTATCCTCAGTTTTCTGTGATAATGCGAATCTGACGAGTCTCCTTTTAACATGTTTTATCCCTCTTTATGGAGATAGATATTTTCTCATCCCCATTTTTAACCTTATTCTCTTCTTCTCTCTTATCCTCACCCAAATAATTGCCTGGAAGATCTTCCTACTTGCACCAGTTCTGCAGGAAGAAGGCAAGAAAGTAAGGGATGCAAAGGGAAGATCTTTCTTTCTCCTTTGGCATTTGCTTTCCATAGCAGTATGAGAAACTGGAGCCCAGCTCTGTCCTGAAGTCAAGGAAGAGACAGGCAGATCTTACAAATACCACGTTGTACAAGTCAGTCCCATAGAGCTCAATCTCACTAATTAATAGATTTAATGAAATGGGTAACATAAGTAGTGGTGTCCTTCTCAGTTCCACCCTTACGATTGAAGGTTTATTCACCTCATTCTCAAAAGAACGGTAAGCACACAGATAAACCAAGGAAAGCAAAAAAGATTGAAAGTGCAAACGTGAGAGCTGCACAAAATAGGTATCTGGGGACTTAGAATAATTTTACTTGCATTCAAGTGAAAAAGCTTTTCTCCTTTGCCAGCACTGGCACCGTGAGCAAAGCTGGTGTGTTCACACACACATACACACGAAACACCAAGTGTCACTGTCCGTGCTGTACGACTGAACAATCACTGACTCACTGCCACCTCTGACGCTTGCATAGGCAATTTTAAAAAACTTGAGCAGGGGATGCTACTTTCCCAGAAGTCCAGCAGCAGCAATTTAGTACAAAAACAACTGTTAAGAAATTAAGAACTACAGCTAAGTCTGAAAATACATTAACAGATGAGAAAAATCAGCAGAAAGGAGAGTCTAAAAACTAACTTTTATGTTAAGCATTTTGCAGTGAACAGTATAGGACCTGCTGCCAAAGATGATATTTACATGTCAGTTACTTTGATTTACAGTTTAACATAGTAGATTTTCTCCTCACAACATAACGTCTACACTTTACCACTTTTTACTTCTGTTCTGGCATAGTAATCAAGTTTTTTTGGAAGGCGCCCCGTTGAGTGATGGTAGAAATTTTACCTTTCTTTGCAGGTGGCTCTTCTTCCACAATAGGCTGACTTTCAGAGCAACGCTTCCTTCCCACTTTCAATACAGTCTCCTCACAATTCTTGAACTGGCTGCTTTCAATCACTTCCTTAGAGTTCTTTTCTGCCAGTTCTCTTTTCATGGTAGTTACAGTGTTGTCCTGTGTTAAAATAAGATCAATTACTTTGAAGTTTTACAAAGTGAGCATTTCTAAGGCTTAGTAATCTTTTAGATGCAAATATTTTAACAAATCTATCTGGGTAACCTGTATAGGGGTTGTCAGAAGAACAAGGCAGTTACAGATCAGTTACTCAAGCAAAAAGTAGGTCCACCTTCAGACTGTAAGAAGCACAATGTTTTGCACTGTTTCTGCAGAAAGTAGAGCAAGAGAATCGGAAACTACAAAATGCAAAACGAGTTTACCCCCTGTTGAAAGAGTTGAGGAAATTAATGATTTGCTCAAAGGGCCAATGGACAGCTCTACAAGTTCGTCACTTTCTTGTCATAATTGGTAGAACTGGGAGTTTTAACCGCCTTCAGCAAAACCATAGATCAATTTTATCATGACAGATCTGATGCACTTTAGAAGCCTAGCCAGTTCTGTCATAGATACTTTAGACTATATATTTGACTAAGAATAAAGTTTCTTTCCTCACAAGGTGACAGAAGGGGCAAGCCATGCTGGTTGCCAAGGACCAATCACTCAAAGTAATTCATTTAAATAAAAAAATAAATCTGTAGAACAGACTTGAGGTTTGTGGTCACGTTTTAAGTTTCATGCCACCAAGTCTTGTAGAAACACTGGCCAGAGCTGGGGCCTTTCTCTTGGAAGGAGCAGTGACAGGAAGCAGTCATCACAACTGTCATCACCCTGAGCATTCATGCTATTGAAAAACTAAGGTGCTCAGAGGCAGAGAGGGAACAGAAGATTAAGTATGGTCAAAGCGTTAAGTTCACAGTGGAAGAGAAAAATGGATCACAATGCTGCCTAAGTTTAATTTACAGTGTTCTCAGAACTACATTTCAGGTTACTGGGCATCAGCCTCAAAAAAACATCTAACTGCATGGTTTGATTTTTATTTTTTTTTAACCTGTATATACATGTAGCCAAGCTAGTCTTTTGGCATTCAGCAGCTAGCAGCAGACTAGCCAGCTGCAAGTTTTATTAATCACATCAAAAGCAGAGATATCCTGGCCACCCACTCTTAGTTCAAACTCTGCTCAATACGTTCATCTTATTGCTCTGCCTTAAAAAGTTTGTGTGCATGGTGATAGTAGGTGGAACACACTGATTTTTGTTGCCAATTTACACAATCGCTGTCCTTCTCACATTAACTTCTAACTTCAATTAAATCTGAGCTTTTGCTGCAGCAAAACCTCCTTTCCTTCCTCTTCCATTCAGGCAAAAATAAAATAGACAGTGACATTATCCCTCTCTTCCCGCTGCTACAGTCCTCCCAGTTTGAGTGTTGGGTTTTATTTTTTCCCTTTAGAGTGGGGCTCTTCATAGTCTCATCGACAGTCCTCCAATAACAACTCCAGATCACTGCTTCCAAAAGTCCTATTTTCCAGACACCTCCACACACATTTTGCTGTAACTTCAGTTTCAATGCCAACTTCACCTGCTGCCATTTCAAGAAAGTAGCAATTACTGACAGAAAATTTCAGTTTTCCAAAATAGTCAAGTCCATTATAAGCACAGATTTAGATTTTTTTTTTAAAATAAGATTCAGAAAATTGAGATGTCTAAGACTTACATAGTCTGTTATAGTTTCTTCTAAACAGGATATCAAATCTTGCAGTCTCGTGATAGCATCGTCTTTTTGCTCCACAATGTCCATTAGTATTTCAATCCTTTTATTCTGCGTATTCATTTTCTTAGAAAAGAAAGTTCAGTCAATGTTAAAATCTTGAACTCGACGATGCATTTAGAAGCAAGATCAGTTAAGCTAAGCTTGATATAAAAGAAGTTAGAAACATACTACAACACCGTTTTAAGCTACTGAAATTTTCTATTAAATCAAGTAATTTTGCCCAAGGTTTTTTTGAGAAAGTTACCTCAGTTGCCTCTTTAAGCTGCTCAGCAGCCTCATCCAATTTAATCGTCTGCATTTCAAAGTCTGTAACAGGAAAAGAAGCCTGCATCAAGTAAGCAGCCATTACATAGTTTACTCAGTAATCCATTTTTCCACATCTTCTGGTACTTGAGTAGCTTTTGAATAGACTCATTTATTTTTGTGTTGGTTTCTACTTACAGGACAATTTCAACAATTCAGGGTTTTTTGAACAGAATTGGATCCTGCAACCTATATAAAATATAGATCATGTCAAGAGACACCTGCTGAAATCATATTAAGAGGTACTGATACTTTTATCTATGAACGATCCACAGAATATCTGAAAACACCGCATCAGCAAAATGTAAAGTGCTGGGATCACAATATACCCATAAAATCACAAATAATGTTGACATGTCACCCCACAACTCAGAAGTCTTCAACTGACAGTTCTAAGGTTTGTCTTAAAAAATGAAATAATCAAGGCCTCTGGAATTGTTCAACCTGAACATACACAAAACAATTGATTATCACCTCTATACACAAGATTTGGATCCAAAAATCCTGTTCAACTGGATTTTACAATGCTCAACTACTATTTTACACTAGTCATTTCTTTTTTCTTTCATATCACACACAAGCACACAGATCTCACCTTTGGTTTTCTGTGTCAGCTGCTCCTCAATTTTGATTAGTTCATTGGTTTTCTTTGACAGCTTTTCTTTGGTCTGAGTTAGTTCAGTGGTAGTTTTGCCCAGCTGTTTTTCAAGCCAACCTATAGCTTCCTGTGGGTCCTCTAGAGACACGACGTGTCTGTGTGTCTCTTCCGTCTGCTTTTTGGTATCAGTGACATCGCTCCGCAGAGAATCAGTAACGTTCTCGAGATCAGTGTCGGTGCCTGGCCCTATGCCATACTCTTCATCCTGAAAGATTATTTATATCCGTTTAGAAATAGCAAATAATTACACAATACCCATTATTTCTACCGAAAATTTGGAAGATCATTATGTCCTCAAACATCTAAGTACAGTTCATTCTAACTTCAAAGCCATCATGTGGGTCCACAGGCAATCAGATTGGCAGTTTCTGTCTACCTTCACATAGAAGTCTCCAGCATCAAGTAACGGCTACTTTAGTTTTAAAGCATTTAAGTGCCCACCATCACATTCCCTTTTCTATCACCACAAAAGCACCCCCTCCAAATTTAATATAACAGCTAGTGTTTTCACCCAATGAGAACACTAAATGAACACAGCAAGCAAACAGTTTTACAAGGAATACATCTGAAATTTTCAAATATCAGTAAAAGTTTGTGAGGTCAAATAAGTTTGTGATGACTTATCAAATTAAAGTTGTACTTAGAACGCTGACTTTATATCTTTCCTCCCTGGTTTTGTAAAAACAAAAGGTTCCAAACTCACAAGAACCAGCCTCAACTTAAGAGTTTAGATATGCTTAAGTGTATATACAATTCTCATTGCTTCACTTGTAGCCACAATAGCCTTAAGAGGAAAAAAGTCTCTGGGACCACTCCAGTACAGTGCTTATACGGGGCCTAAGAATTCAGCTTCAAATACCTTAAATAGGCCCTTAATGCAACAGTTCATAGCACAGTTGCAGCTTTTCCCACAGTTTCTTTGTACACAGTAATTTTGTGTTGCAGAAATGCAGAAAACCCCAAAGATACCTAAATGCATATCTAAGGCACAGCAACTACTCCTACTTAACATGAGAAACATATCTTGCTGAGGATACAGTTAGACAGCATGCAATTCCTTGAAACCTTTCTTCTAATTCTGGAGACATAGCATCACCATAGCAGGCAGTTAGTGAAAGGGATGTTATCAGGGGGGTAAAAATACCAGAGGTCCAGCTTGTTCACTGCAAGGCTGATCCTTTAGTTTATTTTCTTCATCCATGTCTTCAAGATAACCATTTACAAGTTCCTTGAAGATTTCCAGGCGTCTGTCACAATTTTCTTCAAGCCGTTCTCGTTCGTAAGAAATGAACTTGCTATAGTAGGAAAAATAAGTCAGGTAAAAGCTAGCTGGCATGAGCTGCTAAGAAGTTATTAGCACAGCTGCCTATAAACAAAGATTTTTTTTCTTTATTTTGGCACAATAGAACAATAGACAAAATGGTGTTGCTACACCAAAGCAGAAGTATATTTCCTGCACACACACACACCTGAAGAATGAGGGGGAGACATATATATACAGATTATGGCTAACACTCGACTACAAGCATTTTTTCTAAGCTTGAGCCAGAATACCCAGTCGAAGTATCACTAAAACTGCAGTAACTAAAGAATTTGCAAGTGTCACTCTTTCTACAGACATCCTACCAAAGCTCTTCTGTTAGGGAGAGCTCTGCAGGAACACTGCTGACTGATTACACACACCCTCCTCCATCCCCCCACAATTAAAGCCTTTCCTACACAGTATTTTTCCTGAACTCATAGTCCATACAGAAACTGATCTATTAACAGAGGCAGTAAATCCAGCAGAAGGCTGTGGTCTCTTATAACCAAGAGAGAGATTTAAGAAATAAGCGAATTCAATTTCATTTTTTTTAAATCATTAACTTCAAAAACCACTTAAAACTAACTTACCTGAAATCTATTTCCTGCTCAGCAAAATATTTGGCAAATTCCTGCGTTACCTCTTCACGAATTTGTAACTCCAGCAATAACTTATTCTTCTTTTCAGTAATAAGTTTGTTCTTCAACTCTTCTATGAGATTCAGCAGCATCTAGAATTACCATTAGTATGAAGATTTTCATAAAGAAATGATTTCCCAGAAGTGAGATTTTGCTCATTCTTCAAACACTACAACACCATTTTACTCTTCCACCTGACAAAAGCTCTTCCAGTTCTTTTATTAGCTTATTTATAAACAGGAAGATTTATGAGTACATCAGAAGATCTCTTTGGTACTAACACAGCAGTTTATAAGTTTGTACAGAGCAGGCATTTGTAAATATCATCCATTTTATTACAAGAATTGCTGAAGTTGTCTTAAACAGGCTTAAGCTGCACAGGATTTGGCTCTTGTTTTCCACATGGTCATTTTTGGGGCAATATTAATGAAGCCTTCACAAAATAGTTCCTAGTCCTCCTCATCTTCTCTAGAATTGACTAAATTTGCTGTTCCTTAAGGAACAGTTTTCAGTGTTTTCTTGTCCACGGAATACAGAGGAACAGTCTTCTGTATTGCTAAGAGCAGGTAATACTTGCTGTGCATTGACCACAGGCTACCAAAGGGAGAGAAAGCCAGATCTGCAATTCTTACTGCTTAGTCTACATTTAGACACATTATAGAGTTTTCCCACAACAGGCACCACACCATGAGTAATCCCAATTTTAGTTCTTAATGCTGGATTTAGATAAAATAAGGGTGATCAGAAAAAAAAAAAAAAGGCGAGAGGGGGAAAAAATCAGAATAATACCTTGCTTCAAGACTCCATGCTACACTAATTCTTAAAATACACATACCATATACTCTTTTTTTCCAATAAGAACTTTATCTTCTTCATGTTTCTGCACTGCTTCTTCTCTTGATATATGCTGTTCCTCCATCTCATTATCATCTTCAATCACATCTTCTAAGCTCCTGTCCCATAGGACAGCAACTCTTTTCCTTGAGATTTGCATTTTAGTATTACTAAGTAGTGATGATGTTGTTGCTGGTTTCTGGTCAAATGACTGATCTTGGACAAGAACAGATGTGTCCATAGCTAAAACCTACCCAGAAAACAAAGAATAAGTCTTCAGTATTTTTTAATCCTCTACTGGCACTTCCAAGCTATACCGGTTGCACTTCCCTACAGGTCTCCTGAGAATAGTATTCCCCCGGTCTATCTGTTCATAGACTCTACTTCAACTGGTTTCCAGCTAGAGTACGAAGGAATCACTTTAGAGCCTAACCCTTCTTTTGATTGCAGCAACACCAAGTTTCACTAGCTTTACAACATACAAGAGGGTTGCTACCTCATCAACCAACAGATTTCTTATTTCCTATACTTTGAGTTTCTAGTTGCATTACACAAATGCCATCCAACAAATTCTGTTTTAGCGTTGTACTTAACCCGTTTAGATGTCTCCATAACCTAAAGGCCTGGATCTATTATCCTTTGAACATACCTAACTGTCAACATAAGTTTTCCATGGCTTCCATTAAGGCTGCAGCACTGATCCCCAACACTTTTGTCTTCCAACTCCGCTAGGGTTGTATCACTGCACTTATTCCTACTCATTCTGCTTAACCTCCACCTTCCTACTGAAGCTTCTAAGGACATAAAGATGACCTTTCAAATTTTCTTTGGTGCTCAACCAATTCACTTTGGTGCTCAATATTTAAAGTGAGCAATATTCCAAATTAGGATAGCAGTAGTATATGGTGCAACTAGACTTGCTCCTAGGTGAGAGCATGTTATGACTACAGAAGAAAAATTCACCCAGATTTCATGGAATTTCTTCCAAATATAGCAAGTGTCTTGTCAGGCTGGATATTTTATGGGAACTACATATTTTTAATAGGAGATGTTCCCACTCACACACACAAAAAATGTCTCAACAAAGCCTTTTCAAAAACTTTACAAGGAAATAAAGCCTGACTAGGAGTAAATAGAAAATACAATTGCAACATGAGACAAAAAAATCCAGTAACTAAATTCATATTCTTAGAAGTGAGGAATCTGCTCTTTAAAGGCAAATCAGATGTACTGATCAAGATAAACTGCAACACACTTACTTTTTGTGCAATGGCCGAGAACTTTAACACATTTAGTGTTTCATCATATGTTGAAGCACATTGGCTTATGTTTACTATCATGTATACCCTCCCCTTTCCACTGAAGAATCCTTGAAGGAAATGAGTTAGCTTACTTTCCCGAAAGGGTATGTGCTGCTGCAACCTATAAAGAAAAAAGAACAGATGACCAGATGCTTAATAATTTCCAGCCAGTGTAAAAGCTACCCAGTATGAAGACTTAAAAATATTTATTGAAGTATTAGTCATAAAATTAATTTAAGTTGTTTTAGACTAGATGCAGCTGTTTGTAGAGAGACCATGTGGTTGTGACTGTGGCTTTAGCCATTATCTTAGATAGGCTATAGCAATACAACCAATTGGAGCACTTAAACTAAAAGAGTATTCAACATTTAGCCTTGGGTGGGTCACATAGCCTCATGCTACATCAAACTATACCACAACCTCTCTCTTCCTTTCCACGTTAATGAAGAGAACATATCTAGTTCTAGGCACACAGTATCCAACATTAATCAGAGATCTCTCTCACTCAGTATCCAGCCTCTGAGAATGGACAATAGCAAGTGCCTAGGCAAGAAAATGAGTATACACCAAACACCCGGAGATACTTTTCAGAACTTTCTTCATAATTTCCCAGCAGTTTGGCACTTGTTAGAAATCACAATTTGTGCCCTTGAATTTAACAGCTGGTGATGTAGTTTTTGATGCTTATAGGAAATTTCATGAGAATTTCTCTAAAACATGACTGAACACACACTTGCCAACAAACAGGTTGCCTGCATTTTGGACACATAACAGCTATTCAGTTATATGAACAGTGCTGCAGAACTCAGGAAGATAGTGACACTCCTACCAGAGTACATATACAGCTCATATGTAGCTTTGCTGCAGGACTGATAGTAACTTCCTTAAAATTATTTTGGACTATTTCCTATTCAACTTGCAAAAGGCATGTATTACCACTTTAACAATATAGAAGAAATGCTCTGAAGTATGATCTCTTAAAATTCCAAATTATTAGGATCAGAAAAAGACATTCTGAATACATTAACAGCCCTCTAAGCAGCCACTAGTTTTAATGCATCCTTCCTATCTGGAAAGAAGAGAAAAATAAGACAGACTGTAAATTCACAAAGCATATTCAGGAACATGCGCTAACAAAACTTCTTCATCTTAAGGTGTTACAGACTTTGAACATGCTCTCAGGAAGAATGTTATGGGGTAAGGGAATATGGTGAAGCACATCAATCAGCAGACTGAGTTCATTTAACTTCTGGGACAGAAGCAAATGAGAACATGTGGAGAAAGCAGTTCCTAGACAGTTATATCTAGCTGTGACTATAAATTGTACTGGTTTTTAGACAACTAGGTTTTTGTATTATTTCACTCTTATTTAGATCCTCAAGCTAGGGCATAAATAGTAGGAAGGCTTTCTTTTGCTGGCATATGGTTAGCTGGATCAGGAGGAGAGTGTTAATAGTTATGTCAGTATTTATGAAAAAAACAGAGAAGTTTTGTCAAATTGTGCACAGTAATATTCTGCTGATGGAAAAATGTTACACTAGAAGTATAGACAGTTGAGTAATAAAAGGCTAAAAATTTGACACCATGACACTAGTGAAAAGGGGGTTTAAAACTTATTCCAAAGTTTGGTTTTTTGATAAACCAAGATCAAAAGAGTAAAGTTAAATTGCTAAAATATATGATAGCATGCTTAAAGGAGATTAGAACTGATGCTTTAAAGAGCAGAACAAGGCAAGTTTACGATAACTTTGGTAGATCAACAAGTCTATACATTGTTTCCACCGAAAACATAGTATTAGCATTGCATATTTCAAACATTGTAGGTAATATCTAAAAGCCACAACCAGTTTGCAATTTATAAAAGGACTTACTTTGACTGTTGAGAATTCTTGAGTGAGTTAATACACTTGCCTAGAATCAGAAGAGAGGTGTTTATATTTCCACTCTCTTTCAATCTATGACCTTCATTGTGGGTCTTCGCATATCTTTCTGAACCAGCAAGATCACACATTGACAATCTAAAAGCAGATAAGGAACATTCCCTTTATTTACCTTTAGAACGTGCAAAAATTATTCACTTTTACAAACAATAACTGTTTTTAGAGAAAGAATTTCTTGGTCTTCATCTGCACAAACACTTCCATTCTTTTCAGTGTTGCTTTCCCAATCAAGTTTTACATTACTTCCTGACAAATCTTTTGCCAATACACTTCCTATTCCCCTCCTCCCCAGCCATCCTCTTCCTTCTGAGGACTTAGATGAGTTTAGGTATATAACAGGCTAACAGAACCTTGTGCTGAACAGAGGGGACAAGATATAGAACAGCACTGCAACCTGATGGCTAGAGATAGAGGGCCATGTGCTGCATGATTGTAGGAAGTGAGTAGAAAGTGTCTACCCATAGGAAGAGTTTCTACCAGGAAGCACTGGGTATATAGTCAGTATCAGTACACCAACACAGAAGATAATGGACAACTTCATCACAAAAGATATAGTCTCTGCTCTGAACTTACTCATTGACTCGTGTCACTTGTGGGGCTCCTGAATCTTCAATTTTTAGTATCTTAACGGTGAATATGCTGTGACTAAAAGGAAAAGTTTAAATCAGCAGAGAAGATAAAGTAGATCAATACCTTCAAAGTATTTTTAGCCTCCACAACATCTGTTCAAAATACTGTTGAATCTGTCAGCTTGTCTAAGCACATACTCTATCAGATACAAACTTTTGAAAAGAGATGCTTGTGTAGCCTTTATTTTGCTTTTTCCTCAGACATTTAGATGGAATAAAGCTAAGTGCTTTTTCTTGAAGGAGTGTATTTGATAAATCTGTTAGCTTTTGTACATGTTCATTTTACTGAAGGATTGAATCCTTTTAACTAAAAGCACTGGGTCACATAGTACTAAAGGACGCCAAACCTAGATATCTAGACCCTGTTAAAGTCTCTTCCCCTCCTAAAAGCCACAATCCATATTTCATTTCCCCCTTCCTCCCAGACACCATCCTATGCCCAGTGTTATTCAAAAAGTTTCTCACCTTCTGCTGGAGAAAGTATTTAGTCTCGTGCTTGCAATACTCTGGTGTTTCAACCCCAGTTTTAGAAGTCTAAAAGCTTCTTTAGAATCAGAAATCTGAACCCACTGCAGATCTTTAAAAAGAATAAAGATGGTAATCTTGTAAATATCATTACCAAAAAAGATAGAATTTATTAGGAGATAAAGGAGATGTGCACACCAAGAATAATATGTTTATCTGAGACATAAAATCATTTGACTAAGCATGCTTCAGACAGAAATTATACGACAACAAGATCAAGATTCTCCCTTGATACCAGCTGTGACCAAGAAAAATAAGAAAATCTTCAGCTGGTTTTCCTCAATAACATCATTAACAGCCATATACTTCCAAACATTATAAAAAGAGATTATGCTGAAGCATAGCTCAAAGCAGACTATTTCCTCCTTCACACATTTTCTAGTCTTTGAAGAAATGAAGGAGTTGGGTTTATCATCTGATTCAGCTTTTTGAATCTGTAGTTTGGCATAGGAAAGATAAAAGGAGCAGGCCAAACACCTACAAAAAAGCCTTGAATCTAGAATTGGTGTCTTGATTTTCCAAAGAACCTATAACAAGCAAATAGGATTTGAAACCTGTTATTTCCATGGCCAGAAACAAACAACTGTTAAGTTCTGCTAACTCCCCACCTCCCCCAACCCACAACAAATTACATCATGAGCTTGATCAGAGTACTGCAAAATGTAATTTGCAGTCAGACTGAACTTTCTCACATGTTCTCTGAAGTGTTTCTCTACAGAAAATAATAAAAAAATAGAACTGTTGAGGCAATTAACTATAGATAAGAATTTAGAATCTTTTTTTAAGAAAATGGAAACAAACAAGTCACTAAAAATTTGTCAATTGTTGTTAATATTTCTCCCATTTCAAAGAAACATCAAGGCAGTGGAGTGCAAGCAAGCTTTTAAGAGTTACAGTTAACAACAGAGAAAACATTACTAAAGGTACAGGTATTCTGTGTATGTAGATTGATGCCTTTCTTAGTCAAAGCAGGCATTTCTAGTGCCACAGTGAATACAGTTAGGAGTTTTCTAATCTAGAAAGAAATATTATTACAGGAAGACTGACTTTTCAAATTAAACATTTGGAAATTTGCAATGTATTCTAATCACCTTTTACATAAGAACATCCCTTGATGTCTTGAGCAAGGCGAAGTGTTTTTCTTTTCTTGTCATTTGATATAGGAATCAGTAGATCATAAAAACATTCATTGTAAATCTCACAAAATGAAACCCAAAGAGAAAATTTCACGTGATTTTTTGCAGTTGTACTAGACTGTTCTGAGCCTTTTAGGAGTTCTTCCAAATCTGTCAAGTACAAAATATTAGAAGTCAGTATAGACCTTGTAAAATAAACTTCATTAAAAAAATTAATAAGTGAAAACTGATATTACAGCAGCCTTCTAAAAAGCACTTACCCCATACAAAAATCCCTTGAAATTTTTCTCCCCTTTCTTAAATATCTGAAAGTCACATGCTTACCTTACATATGTGCCAGACACCTAATCTACCACTTCCTTTCCCACTTGCAAATTCTATCAAAAACACGAAGCTTTGTTAGAATTATTCAAGTCTCTCTAATTCTCTGTCTTCTAAAGATACTGAGCTGACAAGTACATGTCATTCTAACATTTTAAAGCAAACCTAGTATGTATGTAATTTTTTAAACACTAGAATGAGGTTTATCTAATTACATACAGGGTCAGGATACCACTAGAAACCATAGCATAAGCAGTACTACTTTCCCTTGCCATAGTTTCATCTCATTTAATGCCTGTTCAGGTATACTTCTAACCATTTTATCCTTGTGTTTTCTGGCCAGATAACTTGATCATTATCCAATTCACAGGCATATAAAAATGCCATGTAGTCATTTTATTATTAACATAGGGCAGAAGTCAGTTGTTGACCTTAAGAAAGCTTCTTCGCCTGCATTAATTGCAATTTTTTAATATAAGACATACCCTTACAATCAACTGGTACTTTGCTGTTAGTGCTATCTTGTTGGTCTACCTACAAAAGAGAACAGAAACTTTAAGATATACATCATTGACAGTAGACACCAGTCACTTTTGTAACTTACTAGACAATAATACAGCGTAGTTGCAATATGCCAATACAAAGATCCTGATTAGGCATCATGTCTAGTTCAATGCACCTGTTCACTCCTATTGAAAGGATTCTACCTTAATACTCATTCCTGACACTTCCCTTAGATCAGGCCCTACCACTGTATATAGCATTTCAGCTTGCTGAGCCAGAGGAAAACTAGCCACAGAAAAATAAAGGGGTGGGACCCCACAGAGAAACACGGCAATTTAACAGGATTATTTGTGGAAGTCCAGTTGTAGTTTAAAGATTATTCTTAACTTGGTGAATCTAGAGAGTCTGGAAATTTTTTATTATTGGTATTTTGCTAATTCAGGATTCCATATCTTACAGTTTCCCAGGTCAACTCTCAAACAGAGGTAAAAGTAGAACACTTGTTCACTTAATTTCTTAAGTGAACAACTTACTACTACGTGATACAGGCTGTATCACAGTTGAAATAAAACTCAGGTTTTAGAAAGAGAAGGAAAACTTCCTTCTGCTGAACTCAAAAAAAAAAAGTAAGACAAATCCCTACAGATAGAGGTTAATACACATACACTCCATTCCCACTCTTAGTTTTGGTTGGTTCAGGTTTTTTAGGCACAGAACTGCAAAGAAGTGCAATTCATCTACCAAAACCAGTATGCTTAAGAGAAGAAACATGGATTAAAATACCGGTGTGATTTGGCTTGGGTTTTTTTAATGTTTTGTCAAGAGCATATGTTATAAAGCTGGGATTCCATAAAGTGATTCCTGAAATAGTCAAATACATAAGTAATCAAAACTTTCAGATTTAAGCTTTACACATATAAAAGAGCCCCCAAACCTCTCTCTGTTGAAGTAGGTGCAAACTTTGAAAACTGTTGTTACAAGATTATACTTCAGCTTATAAATTTAGTGGCAAAACTACAGGGGACACATACAAGATCGTTTTTTTTTCTGAAGCCATTAAAGACTGCTAGAGCTAGATATAACATATGCCCGTGCTTCTGAAGTGAAGTCTTGAAGAATTCTGCTGCCACCTGCCTTCCACACTGGAGAATTCCAGCTAACTCGGATAAAAATCAATGTAACAGTTATACTCCCTCACACAACAGCCACAACACTGCATTATAACCTAGCATACCACTAGGGAGATACTTAATTCTTTCCACTACAAATAAAAAATGCAATACAATCCCTTCCTAGTTCCTATTCCTAGCATATGCTTAGTTTTCTTACATTACTGCATTCATTTCAGAGTTAAAGACACCAGGGAAAAGGCATGCTTATACAAAAGACAAATCCCCACAACTGTAATTGGACTAAATAGCTTTAGAGTTCCAAGCAACTCAGGAAACTGAAGTGTATTTCTGGACTACTCAAAAGTGATGTTTAAAGTCCAGCAGAAATCTGTTTTAATTCAAATCTTTAGAAGTCCAACAACTTTATAGCTCCGCTGTTCCAAAAAAGCTTTTGCTTCCTTTGAGGTTAATTGCACAGACTGGAAGATGGGAACAATCTCAAAATAATTAATGTCTTTCAAGTATCCTGGAAGAGAGTAAATTGTTTAAAGGAGCAGACATACTAGCATCCCCACAGATGGCAAGACTATTTGCATTCCGTCCTTATTAAACACCAGTAACCCCAGAGGATAAATCATCAGATGCTCAGGCCTTAGAAAAAAAACTTAGCATTTACACTGTATCAAGTATGCAGCCACAAGGCAGAAATCTACAGAACAGGGTTCATCAGCAATATTGCTCACTTTGCTGCTAATCTGATTAGCTACCTGATGGCAAAGACACATCCATACTTAAATACATATAGTTGCTTCCCATTGAAAAATGAAGAGGGTAACACTGAGCTATCTGAAGATGCATGTACTCATCAGTACAGAAAGAAGTGCTCCTCTACCTCTTTTGTTAGGCGAAGTATTGAATTTTTAATAGCAGTTTCTTCTCTCACTTGGTCTCTAGTCAACTTTATATAATCTCTGCACCGATGGGGTTTGAAATCCATCGCTGTGTATAGCTTCCCTTGAATACTTTTAAACAACATATCCATAGTCCTTGGCAGAATACCAACGTCATCTTCTGTCCCTGAAAGGAACATACCAAAGAAAGATCTTAATTATTAATGTGAACAAGGTATACAAATAAAGACAGAAAGATAAGCAATTCTAATCTCAAGGCGTACATGATCAATTTGGAGGCCACTTAACAGCACAAAGCAGTGGGTTTTTTTTAGTGTTCTGAAACGTATTTGGCTTAAACAGCTCATGCTCTACCCCTTAGGCAGTAAGGGGCAGAACACAAAAACTGATGCAGTGTTCTGCATAAACTTAGCCTTAAAGGAAAAAACCAAAACCAAACCAACCACAACCAACACACATTCAACAGAGATTTGCTGTTTTCCAATTGCATTTCATAGGCTGCCTTCACTTTCTCTCTCACAGTAGTAATATAGAAATACAACTGATGACTCATCCCTCAGCTGCAGTCCTGTACTAATTCCACAGATCCTACAAAAAAAGTTCTAGAAGCCTGGTGAAGACTCACTCCTTTCGCTGTCCCAGACCCTTTCCTACCAAAGCATCCCACTTTTGCACATGAAAGGCAAAAAGGAGTCAGATAAAAGCCTCAGTCAACACTTGATCTTTCTGAATCCAGATGCAAGTTTAAAAAGGGTTCACTTAACTTTGATTTCTAAACCAGAGAGGAGAAGAAAGAGGGGAGAATGGAAGAAAAACTATCCTGTCTCAGACTGACAGCATTATCTTCCAGCCTTTGACAATTTCTACTGCACCTGAGACAGATGGGCTTCCACCAGTTGCAGCACTAGTTGTGTTGCCCAAGCAAGAGCCTATGTAAAATCTAGTTGGCACTCAAACACCAAGCTAGGAACCACATAACATATTAAGTTAAAGTACTGTTGGATTATATTTGTTTTTCCTCATCTACTCATAATTTTTTGTTTCTTGTAAAGCCACTTGTAATTCAACCTAACATGAACAAAGTAACAGTCACTGGCAAACAATGAACAGTCTTAAAAAACTGTCGCATCTTTCACTTAAGTCTCTTGCCTTTGACAGAATACAGACTCCCATGTAATGCCAGAAAGGAAAGGCTACCTAGACAATACTGGGAATAACAGAATAGCAAATCATGGCACCCCACAGGCAACATTCTGCCCTGACAATTCTTAACACAAGTTGATAGTTAAGTCCTAGAAAAATATAATAGCATGAAAAATTCTCCAGAGTCTGAAAAGTCATGAATCAAAAAAAAGTCTTGAAAACCCACACAATATAATCCAAACTAGTCAAGCATGGGGGACCGTACGCTTCAGGAATTTTGGGAGTTTGTTATTTACCTATTATTTATTAGGACAGAGCATCCCATTATAGCCCTAGATTAATGATAATTGAAAATACTGACAGTAGTCTTTAGTTATAATCTACCTAACAGAAGATCACTTAGAAGACAATGTCATTTCAATAAGGATCAATTTCATATGGCACAAGACTCATTGTCCTTCTACTATTTCTGTGTATAAAATAACATTTTGGTGTCTAGAACTGCCATTTTACTATAGGAAAAATTGTTTCCATGTAAAATCAAGTCACTTTATTTGTTAAAACACTTTGAAAAATAATTAAGGAATGACATCATCTGACCAGAAAGGATATTGACCTTCAACAGCACAGAAATAGTGCATCAGGAGACAAGGTCTCCTAGGATATTATTGATAAACTCAGAAACTTGAGACAAGACAGAAATACTTTGAAGTACTCAAATATGTTTTGAAACATTTATGCTCAGCTTGTAATAACTGAAACAGATTCAAATACTATTCTTTATTTGAAGACAATGCATATAAGATGCATATGACCTTTATAATGATAAACCAAAATATCAGTCTGGACCTACACACTTTTCACATTCTAATATATAGAACACGTATTTTCTTAACTCCCCCCTCCTCCCTCTAGATACTCAGAGGAAAAAAGTCACACACAGCTGGTTGAAATTATTACAGCCTTACAAATCAATACCACTGTGTGTTTATGCAAATTCCGGCAGTGACTGTCAGTTGGCAGTCTAGTGATATTTGTTATGGAAGGAGACTTTCAAAGACTATTTATTATTAAAGAGAAGCTAATGCATAGGGCCCACAGTTCAAATAAAGGAAAAAGTTATATTTCTGCTAGAAGTAATTCTCTCTCTCTCTCAAAAAAAGGAATTTCATTCAAGGAGAACACATTTCTACTTATACCTTGGAATGTGTAGGTTTTCCCAGCATTTGTAACACCGTATGTAAAAATAAGACGGTTATATCCATCTAAGAAATCTTGCACTGGTTGTTTCATGGTGCCTTCAAAGAACTCTTCTTGAGTTGTTTCAGGACCAAACACCTAAGTATTACCAAGAAATATCTTTATTTAGTTTCAGCAATCATTAGAGACTTTTAAAGAACCCTTTAAATTCTGTACGTTTATAATCTTAAAGACTATTGACAGCTTAAAAATCTAGTTAGCTTGATATTTAGTAATATAAGTTAAACAACTTTTTCCAGGAAAAAATTAGAAATTTCTAAAGACCATTCATTTACTTGTGAAAAAGTGAACTTCTGTCCAGCAGTTTTTTCACTGAGTCGACTCAAAGAATTTTGGGGTGGTTTCAGTATGATGCTTGTTGAATCTTCAACTGAAATACAGCTCTATTAAAAGGAAGCAGAAACAATGCAGGCGTGAAAAGAGTATGAAAAGCTCAGAATAGAGGGAAAAAAACCCCCAAACCCCAAGCATATATTTAAGGTATTTTTAAGCTATATAAATGTCATACCTGCAATTCATTTTCTCTCTCCAACAATGTAAATGGCCTAATACGCAGGCAAACTTGTATATGTCCCTTAGACTCCAAAATGTTCCTCTAAAAAAAAAAAAAAAAAGTTAGAAATTTGACTAGATTCTTTCTTGGATAGCTAGCATGTTAAGGCAGTTTTATTTTCACCAGGCTACTTTGAACAGATTTATGTGATGACAAGGGAAGCAAAAGTAATTCACTATGTCAGTTTTTACAAGTGCTTAGGCCCCTGCAGAAGTTCGCTGTGATAACTTAAGAGTTCATAATCTTGCAGCATGTATATATATATATACACACACACACACACATCAAGGCAATTAGAGACCAAGAATGAAACCCACAAAAACATACCATGATTAAGCTGCTCCAAGACTGATGAGCCCAATAAGGTATCCATGCAGTGACACAAAACTTAGTCTAATCCTATCTATCACCTCCAAACTGAAAAGTATCTTTAGTATGTTTTTATCTTCTCTGTAAAATTCTGATTATTTGTACTAATGAAAAGACTAAGCTTATTAAAAAAAACACCCAGAACAATGCAAACATTAAATCTTTCTTACCTGGCTTGTGTCCGAGCTTGAAGAAACCAAAGAAAAATCACCAGAGAGATCTGTTTTAAGATCTTCCACATTTACTGGCCCTGTTCTTTGAAGTGGCTCAACACTAGCAATATAGGATGGTCTGAAATGTTCCTCGTTATCCAAATTTGGTTCCATCCTGCAAGATAAAATAAAACCCTTCTTTTGCCTTCTGATCAGATAACATAGAGCTTCTGAAGTCTCTTATATAAGACAAGTCCATTTGAAACTGATAGCTTCAGTTTCTTTAAGGAGAAAGCTTTCTTTATCCTATTCAAAATTTACACAGCCAAGTTTTGATAGCTGGGGAGAGGGTCTGCAGTGGGGTTCACATCATGATGAAACAAGACCAGTCATTCTCCTTTCAATGCAAAGCAACTGTTTACCAGGGAAAAAGCCTTACACATATACCACAACCTTGCTAAAACCCACGTCTGACAATGAAGATATAATTTAAAAAGAGAAACACCAAAGAATCATATTGTTCCACATCCGTTTCTCCATCTTCCCATTACAGTGGCCATTTAGAATAAAAGTACATTGCAAGAGTGACCCAAACCTCATGGTTATCTCTGCAGGACCTGACAAATAACTGGTATTATAAATATAACACAGTGTAGCTTAATACATGACAGCGTTCAGAAGCATTCTGAAGACTAGCAGACAGTTTTAGCCATTAAGGGGACACTAGAAAATGAGAAGACCGCATGCCGAAGTGCAAGTTAATTGCTATTTAGCAAATTTTTCCAGTCATTTTACAGATCAGCAATTCATTTATTAAGCCAAAATTTAATGATTTTTGTGCATCTCAGAATCTGGGCAGTCAAAATTTGCTATAGAAAATGAAAGTAAATTGATTCAGTGTTGATAGCAGACAGGTAGATTTCAAAATAATCTTTAAAAAGTGCATTTTATGTCAGAATGTTAGTATATTTTGTCTGCACTTCACTCTCCAATTGCTTTTTCCTGTGATGTTACAGATGTGGCTTGGCAGCTTTTGTTATGGATTAAGTTTAACCCCCTGGGCTCACAGACTATGACAGCAGCTCACTGGGCTCATAAACTGTGGCAGCAAGCATTCCAGCAACTAGACATGTACCACGTGGCCTCCTACGGTTTTGAAGCTTTGGGCACGGTGAGTCAATGGTCTTCTAATACTACATTCCCATGCCTGTGCTACAGCCATGCATATACATTTTGTCTCTAAATACTAATGGAGAATACACAGCATTCATTAAAACAGTGGACAGACCAGGGCTGGTTCAAAGCCCTTTTGCTCAGAAGAAGGGTTGCCTATGAAGCAGTCCTCATATTTTTGTTCCCCCCAGTAGAAAACTAGAAAGATGCCAGCACTTTGGTGTCAGAACATTTAACAGCTTGGCCTTCCTATCTAGCTTGTACAAGGCAGATACAGGACTTTGTGAAGCCAGACAAACTTCACCGAGATGCAAATGAGGTAAAGCAATATATAAACTAAGCAGCAATGTTTAGTTTAACCTACAGTTCTTATTTTTGTCAGACAAGTATACAAAAACAAGGAGAAACTTGGCGTGAAATACTGATAAGGCCTGAACAAACACTGAGCTGGGAGTAAGCTGTGACTGGAAAGAAACATACCTGTGCTGTCCCGATCCAGAAGTCTTACTCATCAGCTACGCAAGTCACACTGCAAAACTGTTACCAGACCTCGGCAGGAAACATATTGTTAGGTCACTGACATTTTAGTTGTCTTAAATATAAGCTTATTTTAAGTGTGATTTTTCAAGATTATGCTCTCACTCTGTGCTTTTTAACTTAAGGGGCACAAGGCAAACATTAAGATATGTATGCAAAGCTGGAGTTCAAAGCACTCCTGTGAGCCCAGCACTGAGATAAGTCAGGTTCAACCACTAACAGTGTGTAAAACACAAGATGCAGACTGTCCACCTGTCTTCACACTGTGTCATACAGCACTGGAATTACCTGAGATGTTCTGGGGTAAACAGGTATACAGCCTGGCTGTAGCCACTAAAATTGACTTGTATACTGGGATATGTTACTGTAATTCTGCTTATCGTGACAACAGAGTTATGGTAATTCTGTTTATCGTGACAACAGACTTTAGAGCTGCAGATACCTTAAGAGCAGGGTATCCTGACCGGCACACAAAGCAAAACGTGGTCACTGTACACACACAACCTGTAGCACTGTCAGACAGCACAAGGGTTGAAAAGCCTCCAAACCTCACAGCTGGCAGCTTATAAAAAACATAACGCATCAGTACTTACGCTTAAAAAAAAAATAAGAGAAAAATTTTCCCTCCGCAAACACCGATCTCTCGCTCCAAGGCTTCAGTGTTTTCGCGTTCTTACAGGACGCTACCGCGTGGCCTTGCCATAGCCCTGGATGCTACCCGGGACTTGCACGCCCCGCAGCAGTACCGAAAAGTTTTCACACACACACACACACACGCACGCACGCACGCACTCCCCGCTCCACAAGTTTTCACCCACCGTAACGCCGGGGGAGAAGCGAGGACAAGAGGCCTCAGCACCGCCTGCCGCGGAGACCCCCAACACCGCTTCCCAGCTCCGCCACCCCCAGGCCGCACCCGCCACCTCCTCCCCTCCTCCAGCGAGGGGCCGGCAGCCCCGCAGTCTTACCGGAGAGCGCACGCCAGGCGGAGCGAGCCCAACCACCGGCCCCCGCCAACTCGGCCACCACTACAAGCTGCCGAGTCGCCCCGGCAACCACCGCCGCTCCCCAAAGAAACGGAACACTGTCTCTTATAC